TGAACGGAAAAAAATTAATTTCAATAAATGTGTTCAGACGCTTAGAAGGATCCCCAGTCAACGAGAACAGCTAAAAAGGTCACCGATACACTGATGTTAACTTTTTATAGTGATACAGTTATTACTACAGCCTTTCAAATTTTAAAATTTATTTATTAAACTTTTTTTTCATTGACAGGACTTCCCAAGATCGTGCTCCTCAGAAGACAGTTGCGGTGACGGCGCTCGCGGCGACCAGTTCCACAGCTACCGCTCCCGGAAACGTCAGTTCAAGGCCGACATGTCTCCGGGTGGTAACAACAATGACGCCAACCGTAAAGCCCGCAGGAAAAGCCCCCAGTCTCCAGAGGAGTTACAAGCCCAACGGTGTCTTGCCAACGTCAGAGAACGACAGAGAACAGAATCTCTGAACGAGGCGTTCTCCCAGCTGAGGAAGATTATCCCTACCCTACCTTCGGATAAGTTGAGCAAAATCCAGACTCTCAAACTGGCGTGCCGATATATTGACTTCTTGTTCCAGATTCTTCGGAGCGACGAAGCGGAGTTGAAGTATTTCCCATCCAGTTGTAGTTACATGGCGCACGAGCGTCTCAGCTACGCCTTCAGTGTTTGGCGTATGGAAGGGGCGTGGCACATGACTGGCCACTAACACCCAAGTAACCAAATGACTGTAATAACAGAACACAACTGGGCACTCCAGGCTCCTTTTAAATACATGGTAAAAGGATGTCTCTGCCTTAAATTTTTGCCTGCCGTGGACTTTAAAATCCTTGATCTTCAATCAGACTCCGTAACGAGCCATGACGTTCATCGAACAAGAGTTTTGAAGATGTAGTTTAGGGTGTGACATATGTGAGTGTATGCCTTGCACATCGTCTTGTGAACATACGACTTGTTCGTGAACGTAAAAATCTTTTATGTGGAAGGAGATCTTCAAGTTGATCGGCAACTGTGTCTAAACATGAAAAAAACCCGTACATTTTAGCATGTACGGCATTGGTCTCAGATACATGAACGCGTTAAGAATTATTGTAATGGAACATATTATGTCTCTACTTTCTGTTGTTCTTGAAATGCCTCGTGTTATTCTCACTGAGCATTAGGGAACATGTGCTTTTGTTCGTGACATGGCGAGAATTCGTAGTGATTGAATATTCTGTTGCGTGAAAATGGTATTCCAGGACAAAAGCTCGGTGGATTGAATGAATAGTTCTCTGAATTCTAGTCATGGTTTTTTATTTCAACTTTCAGTCAGTGGATATATACTCTACCAATGATTATATTGCTTTTACCATTATCTAGAGCACGATTCGAATTTCATTGGAATAAGTTCCTGAAACCTATTAAAGTATTGATCTAGTCATGATGTATTGTGTTTGTATTTGAAAGAACATGTTATTTGATTTCAGGTTATTGTATTATTAATAGAAATGTTTTTGTCTTTTCTTTTCAGTTTTGTTCCAGATTATACTTATGTAAAATTCCTGGATTTTGGAGCATGATATTCATAATATATTACTAAATTATAAAATATAGATAAAAGCTCTAATTCTGATTTCATCTCGTATACGTTACGAAAACAGTTATTGCTGTCATATCGTATTTGTCGAGAGTACTTTTGAAAAATATCACACAATTGTGTATAAAAGACAGGAATACTCATTGTAAGGTACATGTACTTTCAAAGAAGGAAGTTGCAAATTGTGATCCTGGTGTTACTTATTATGAATACCAGAAATAATTCCAATTCCGTTAAATGAATTGTTTGATTCTCCTTTAAAAAGAAAATCCTTTTTCCAAGGATAGAAATGGAAATTCAGGGAAATATTATGTCGAAATGTGCACACATCAACTGCATCAATTGATTTCCATCTTTAAAAAATACATTTTGGAAAACGAAAACCATTGCTTTTAGAAGAAAAACGAGAGGTTAATTTGACTAACAAAAATGTTGTCTTTACCGTGCGATGCAAAAGAAAACATAATGGAGCTAGAGATATAACTATTACATTAGGTAAACAGACTTTTTCATAAGTTCGTGAAGAACTAAAACTATTCTGGGTGGTCGTTTTGTAACCGTTCCATACAATAAATGTAATAACAATTCATTTCGAAAAGCCCACCAGTCACAAAACCGTGCTCTTCCTAGAGTGTGAAAGCACTGATGAACATTAATTTTTGTTATTTATTCGGAAGAAAAGTGTACGCATACATATATTTCATAATTTTTGTTGTACGTGGTCACAATATTACAAGATCAACAAATCTTGTGGCGAAGAGTGACTGCTTTATCATTTCACTGGAAAGGCACTTGCTATTAATTAAGAGATACAATTATCTGTTTTCGCAATTTTCTTTGCCGTTAAGGACAATTTTGGAATAGGTAGTTTTGCTAGTCAGTTTCGTTATGTAGTGAATACCTGAAACCATAATTATTGATTCTAAATTAATAACAAATTATGACTAAATAGATTATGTTGGGCTATCCTGTGGCTCTAAATCAGTTTGAAGACCAATGCCACCTTACAATTAGAGACCAAATTCTGACCTAAGATTTGGGCCCTTAGTCTTTAGTGTTATCCCCTGTGCCTTACATTGTTCCTTGGGTATCTTGTCTTCCTCAGATCTGTGTTTATGGGGTTATCTTCCAATAGGTCCGTCCACTCTGTTCCTAGACAGTGCTGACATTTTTTGTTGATTTTTATGCAAAAAGATGGAAGTTTTATTGACATTATTTTAATAAAGACACTCTTTAGTATTTTCCTTTCTTCAGTTGTATTTTTTGGTTGTTGTAATAGCCGGTGTTGTTATTTTGGCTTCTTTTCAGTTGTTAGATCTTGACCGACAGCACCATCGTCTGTGGTGCAGTTGTTAGGCGCTTCTCTGTCGCACACAGAAGACCAGTTCGATTCCGGTGAATGGAGAATGTTTATTGAGTTTGTCGGTCTCTCTGCTGGAACATTGTATCCTTCTCGGTTTGGGTTGGCCCTGGCCCTGACACGCAAGGCCGAATGGCCCACATCCTAAATTATCTAATGTGTGTTGACGAGGATTATAACACCCTATGTTATTATTTTTTTTAAATACAGCAAAGCGAAAAATATAATACAATGTGACTCGGAACTTGGTAAATGGGGTCCTATTTTGCATATTGTTATCACATTAATTTTACTCATATTTGACGTTTTTCGGAAACTGATCACATACCTCAAAATATAAGTAATCATCCTGTTCCAAAAATACGTCATAAACCCCCATATCACACATTCATCTCTCTCTCTCTCTCTGCCTCTCTCCCTCTTTGTCTATTTGTCTGTCAGTCAGTCTGTCTGTCTGTCTGTCTGTCTGTCAGTATCTCTTTCTCTCTTTCTCTACCTCATGTTTCATTCTTCTTCCCCCTCTACTCTCTCTCTCTCTCTCTCTCTCTCTCTCTCTCTCTCTCTCTCTCTCTCTCAACGTGTGTCTGAATCTCTCCATTTCCATTTTCCAGGAACTATCATGGCTCACTCAATAGCTCTCTACTCTGTGTATTTGATAACACAACATGTACGAACACAAGGGCAGACTGAACTTGTCTTTAGGCCTTTCGCTAAGGGGGTATAGTAATATGTTCCTATGCACAGTAGAATTGTAAATAGGCTGATTTATCAATGTTACGCTCATACTGTGCAGGAATAACACAGGGGGAACTGCTACTTTTTCGTTCCTAATCCTTACCATCGTCATTTTTCTCTATTCTTTTGTATGGTTGTCACTCTCTTGTGAACTGCTATTTCCCGGGAGCCCTGATAGTTGAAGCAGACTTTGTTCTGTTGAGGCTAGAGAGGTGAGTAGAGTAAGTCTGATTTCCCGTTTGGACTTCTCTGTTGACATCCACCCCTTGGCGCTCATATGACCTTATGCAGTTGCAAGCGCCGTAAAACCTAAATAAAACTAAAATTAAACAAACAATATAAAGACAAAACTTGAGGAAAATAAAATAAATAACTGCATAACAACTGTAGCTAGAATGTTTTTTAATGGCCAGCATCACTTTCCGTTTTCGTTCCCATCTCCAACACCTTTTCCAGTCTACGTTGTATAATAAGACACTTTCTGCTCCCAAAACTCTTGACAGTACTAAATCAAAAGCAAACTTCCGGTTCAGGATAACGAATTGGTTTGAGAATAGAGGAAGCAGCCTTCGTTCTTTACTGTGTTCTCTGTGCGTGTTGTTCCCAAATAGGTGTTTGGAGTGTTTGCAAGTTTAAACGTCATGTTCGTAAGTGAGACTTTTTACACTTGCTCACGGCACCCTTTTGAAACTTTTATTGGATATTATGGGTATAAGTATAATACAAGTAAGTACAAAGAGAAGGATTTTAAAGATTTCAAACTCCATGCTATTCAAAAGATGATTGTCTCGTAGGTCGCTACCTTAGTATAACATAACTGGGCTTTTTTTCAAGGTATCAGGACAAAAATCTTGTTACAACACAAGATGTCACATATGATGCCAATCAATATTAACAGCTTTTAAGGATTTCTCATAATATCCTTCACTCAAGAAATGAATCTACTGCCAATCAATGAAGAACTCTATTGCGTCAAATACCAAACTGTTCGTTTAAACTCTCAGTTTATGTTTTAGTTTTAGTAAGTGCTTTACGGCACTCGCGACACAATAAGGTCATATAAGTGCCGAAGATTAGAGGTGTTACAAGAGAGTAACAAACACAAAAAAGAAGGAGGGGAGATAAAAACGATAGTTGTTTGATAGGAAAAAAGAAGCAAACCACACCAGAGCACCCGTCAACCACCCACTCTCAGTTTCTCAGAAGAGAAAAGCAAGAGAATTGTGTAGAAATACATGAACTTATACACGGCAATAAGCGGAAGCACTCGATTCTCTAATGTGAAGCCACGAGTCGCTGAACCTTTTGCTAGAAGCACAAGAAACCGACGGCATTGACTTCTTTTTTAAAAACAGTATTTACCATTAGACAGAGAGAGAGAGAGAGAGAGAGAGAGAGAGAGAGAGAGAGAGAGAGAGAGAGAGAGAGAGAGAGCGAGCGAGAGAGAGAGAGAGAGAGAGAGAGAGCGAGAGAGAGAGAGAGAGAGAGAGAGAGAGAGAGAGAGAGAGAGAGAGAGAGAGAGAGAGAGACAGAGAGAGTCATATACATGTATATTATAGAGGTACCGAAATAAATTAGAAAAACAACAAATAAAGTATGAATACAAAACAACAAATGCTTGAATCTATATATATATAGATTGATAGAGATATATATATATATATAGAGACATACAAACAGACAGACAGATAGATAGATAGATAGATAGATAGATAGATAGATAGATAGATAGATAGATAGATAGATAGATAGATAGATAGATAGATAGATAGATAGATAGATAGATAGATAGATAGATCGATCGATAACTTAAAAAGAACTCGAGAAGAACCATACTACTACTACTCTTAACAACAAGTTAGAAACAGTCAAAAGTAAATGGCGGATGGGTAAATGAAAAAAGCAGATCAGCTGGTTGTGAGCAAAACATTATACTTTATTCATTCTCCTTTAAAAGCACACATCAATTAATTGACGACAGTACACATGTGCTTATGGAACTGTCGTTTTGATCGAAATCTCGTGCAGCATTTAAGATTTATTCTATTATTCATTTTTCAAATTCAAGATTCTAATTGATGCCAATGTCATATCTTTCGGGGTGTAAAAAATACAAACAGTACCATGCCAAGCCCCCAACACTGCACAATTAAATAAATGAATTAATTAAAATCCCTTAGCGTCCAGAAAACTTACCCATCTTTTCATATTTTTGCAACAATTTTTACTTAATAAATCCTTATTTAATTGACCCAAGAAACTGATATCCAAGATATTTTTCTAAAGGTCGACAATGCAAAGCAAAATAATCTTAAACTTGATGACAATGGAAGCTCATTTGAACCGCGAGAGGGCCAGTGCTGCCTGTTCTGGTAAAGAAGCGACAACGTGCGATCATCATTAATTTGAAAAAACTTCTAAACGGGTATAAATTAACTCACCCACTTCCATCCCTACTCCACGAAAATAAAATTGCCAGTTACGGCAGGTTGATACGAAACCAAAATTGCAGGATATCGCCAATACCTGTATAAATAAATAAGTAAATTGATAAATAAATAAATGAATAAATAAATAATATACAGTGCACATGCATCATCATCAACGTCGTCATCTATCTTTAGTCCAATGCTTGCCAATCTGGACGATATTGCTCACTCGTGGGACGAGTAGTTTATTGTTGTAGCTATCCCTATAGCTTGGGTGGATTCTTCTTTTGGATCGCAGGCAGTGGTTGCTTTGGTCTGCTCGTTAGTTGCGCAACCTCCAGGTTTAGAGCGTGGATCGAACGCCATTGATCCAAAACAAGCTGTTGAACAGAGCAGAGGGGTGCCAAGTATCATATTATTACAAGTTTGTTATGCATTTATCGGGTTTAAACTGTAAAAGACATAACAATTTTTTTTTAAATTGCAAAATTCCCCCAAGGAATTAATAGTGGTAACAGTAAAAAATAGAGAAAAAAATGTGCCTTTTGAAAGAGTATTAGTGAGGCCTCAAACAAAGATGTGGGAAGGGCATACACGGATATCTATCTATCTATCTATCTATCTATATATCTATCTATCTATCTATCTATCTATCTATCTATCTATCTATCTATCTATCTATCTATCTATCTATCTATCTATCTATCTATCTATCTATCTATCTATCTATCTGTATCTGATCTCTATCTCTATCTATCTATATCTGCCTGCCTGTCTGTGTGTCTGTGTGTCTGTGTGTCTGTGTCTCTCTGTGTCTCTCTCTCTCTCTTTTTATATATATATATATATATATATATAGATAGATAGATAGATAGATAGATAGATAGATAGATAGATATATATATATATATATACTAGCTTATGCCCCTTTCGATGAAAGGAATGATCGGTGCATTAACATTAACTGAAAGCCATTGGTCTACTATATTTACGCTCTACTGGAGTGGAGCAATACATCTTAAGAGATGCAAAAATGTAGAAGGTTTAGATCTATACGCTCAAAAGAAAAGTGCGCCTCGCGAAATATCACTTCCGGCACTTTTTCTGTCCCGGGCAGCTACGCAGATTTGTTTCTTTTCTCAGATGAATAATCATAAAGACTAGAGAAGGGCGGGAACCTTTTGTCCAATATATTTGCTAAATTCAGGAAGTGAAAAAAATAAAAATCGTGCTCCGTCATGTGGACCTAACTTTTATTTTGCAGGTATGTACTTGCCAACTTTCAACTTTGTAGCTGTCGTAGTTTTATGGGGTAAGTGGCACTTGTGTTTCCAAGTTGCCAAATATATATATATATATATATATATATATATATATATATATATATATATATATATATTTCTGTTTGTCTGTCTGTCTGTCTGTTAACATTCATCCCGATAGTGAGAATAGTGAGAGAAAGAGAAAAAGGCATATATACTGAATGATTAACTGACAAACAGGAAGACAGAAATTCTGGAAAATAACGATAAACATATAGACAGAGATCTGGAAATTGTTGTCGTTAGTTATATTATGTTATAATAACTGATACAACCCTTTCGAAATAACTTAGGTAATTCAAGAGGCTGGCTCCTTCAACTCTTCTTGGAGCAGACAGCCCGAGCTCAGAAGGGTAAAATGTCCCTTGAGACAGACATATAACTTTGTTGATACTAATGTAAAATAAAAACAAACAACAAACAAACAAACAAACAAACAAACAAACAAACAAACAAACAAACAAACAAAACCCCTCCTCACATGGGAATCGATCTCACTCAGTATTCTGCGTGCAACTGCGGAACGCTAAAAATTAAAACCTCTACACCACAGACGCCAGAGTAAAGAGACATATATATATTTTATATATAATTTTGGAGAAATAATATTTCACATGTTTACATAAACACGAAGCTGACGTACTCTCCTCAAGCTTCGTAATTCGTTCTTGATGGGCAGATTATCCACTTCTTTCGGGCAAACATTCATGTAAGCCTCCATGTGTTTCTGCATTTCGAACACATCTGAGAGCATCTTGGCCTTTGTGTGCAGCTTCTCGTTCTGTCGTATGGTTTGCCGCAGATCGGTATCCCTCAGGTGCCTCTCCTCTAGGCGTAGATCACAGAGCTCTCGTAGATCCTTTGTCTGTTGGGGGTACACCATAGAAGATACATTTTTACAAAAATCATCATCATCATCATCATCATCATAATCATCATCATCATCATCATCATCATCATCATCATCATCATCATCATCATCATCAATGGCAATTCGAATGGAGTTATTTGGACGAGTGGAGGTGCCGCTAAGCATATTGACAATGGAGCCGAAAAACAGCCTCGCTCTCGCTCGAAGATTTCTTCGTGAAGTCCGTCAGGCCCATTAAGGAAACAAAACAAATCATCATCATCATCATTATCATCAGCCGCAGCAGCAGCAGCAGCAGCAGCAGCGGCAGCAGCAGCAGCAGCAGCAGCAGCAGCAGCAGCAGAAGCAGCAGCAGCAGCAGCAGCATTGACTGTTCTTTTGTGAACCTTTCATGAAGTCTTATTATTACGCCACCCACTAAAAGAAAAGTTACGACGGAAAAGACAGAACGTTAACAACTTGCTGGGTCGAATGGATGGTAAAAGAATCGAAATAGTACAAAGCAATAATTATTTATTCGTTCTGAATTAGAGGGAAAATGCATCTAACAAACCATGATTGTTCAACCATTGACTTTATGCTTCTTAAATGGAAATGCTATCTGCTCAGAATAAAGGAAATACATTTGGCATTGGTGTACCATAAAGCAATAAAGATCAAAAGTATAATAATATTATTGCAGGGTTGCCTTTGAAAAACTAGAGATGAGTCGCAGTGAACAAAATTAGGCTAAAGGGGAAACAATGAATGCCAGTCTGGGATCGCAATTAAATAATAAATCAAATCAAAATTCATGGCGCTCATATGATATTACCTTATGCATTTGCATGCGCCGTAAAACCTTACTTAAAGAAACAAAATCAAATTTGAGCATGTCCTATGAAAACTGAAAATTATGTCTTTTAAAAGAAAATGTCTTTGATGATTTCCAAACATTGGATAATTTTTTCTACTCCATTTATCACTCAACGATTTGCAATATTATAATTTGCACTTACTAACTTATTCCAGCCTCCCCCCCCCCCAAAAAAAAAAAAAAGAAAAAGCGAAAAAAACCCCACCCCCAAAAATAAACCTTGTAGATATATATTGGTAAATTTACCAGAACATTGAGCAGAGCAGAAAACCCATTTGAAAGGAAAGTCGATGGAAAGCTATTATTACTTATTAGGATAACACGGGTCAATGCACATACAGTTATTGCATTTGGCCTCTTAGAATAGTGCCAATATATTATAGTGCTCTGCTGTCATCTTTGGTGGAGTTATTAATATTATTGACTTTTAAATTTTATCCCACCAAAATGACAAAATTAAAAAAAGTAAATAAAAATCAACTAAAAAAGGGGGGAAAAATTGATAGTCCTCTGCAAAATTTGCTGTTTCAAAAATAATATGTTCTATCTGAATTTGAATTCTTCTAAATTCTAAGAATCCTTGTTATTTTTTCTGCTACAATAATCTATATAATGGCATTAAACATAAACAAGAGGACATACAAAAAAACGACAAATAATGACCTGATTAACAGTTAGAACGTTCTTCAAGTCAGTAACTTCGGGGTCGATTTGGAAGTTTTCTAACACGTCGATGGGTCTAATAGCTCCAAATTTCTTCATCATTTCTTCATCGCAGGTTTTATCCATTTCTTCTAGCCTGTGAAAAAAAAAAGAAAAAAAGTGTACAGAAAAATGAACAAGGACATATTATTACATCGGCGTTTTGATCTTTTAAAACAGTCGTTGGCTTAAAGACCAAGTTATGCCCGAAAATACAAAATTACGATTCAAACTAAATCTGCAAACTCATATCGATGCCGGTGATAACCAATACCACAAGTAATATCTTATTTAAAATTTAAAAATTCTCAGCATGCAGAATTCTACTTATGCAGAAGGAACCGGGCAACGCGATAATTTACTCTGCTATCACTGCCAACACAGGGAAGATCACTCCAACCGGTCAATAATAATGATAGTTCGTGTAAAAGTTTTTATTTCCTGTAAACCAGCTGTTCATAATTAGAAGGGCCTACGAAACAAGTCTCTTGTTCTAGTAAAGGTTAAATCTAAAGTGATATGCATAATCTTTAGCCCCTGTGAAAAAAATATGATAAAAAGACAAACCAGTAAATTAAAAAACACAGAATATTACAATTTCTGAACCCTATCTGTACGTCCGGGGTCATTTTGTACCCCAGGGTTTGTATTTTTCATATTTTAAAATACTTCTAGAGCGAAAATCTCCTTGAAACTTTCAGTATTCCTACAAAATCATATTGACAGATTGCTATGCAAAGTAAATCGCAGGTAATGCATCGTTTTGACCAGTGGTCACATTTCAAAACAACCTTTTTTTGCGCCCGGTGGGTTCATTTGTGCCCCCACTCTCCAGAAAGGAAAAAATCTCAGTTGTTCTTATCCGTATCTAGCGGGGTAACAGACAACCCCAACACTTCGTTTGCATGAAGTACTAATAATCGCTACATCCACATTTTCCAACATCTGGGTTTCTGTTGGGTATTGTCAGCGCTCTCGCAGTTGAGCTGGAGACAAATGATTCAGAAGGCCTAATCATCCTTCTTTATTTTATATATGTATTGAGACTGATTGTTGTTGGCAAGTCTGACACACACTGCATCACTCAGCAGATGAATAAGTACCGAAACTCTTATCAAACCTAGATATACCGGTGGAAGGGATGAATCTATATACATTATGTATATCAGTCGCATGGCGTTCTTACGGGAATCTATTCATGTGGATTGCCCGAGTTCGAACCTAGCTGGCGTCAAATTTTGTGATCGTGTGAGAAAGAAAGAGAGAGGGAGAGAGAGAGAGAGAGAGAGAGAGAGAGAGAGAGAGAGAGAGAGAGAGAGAAAAAGAGAGAGAGAGAGAGAGTTAGAGAGGGAGAGAGAGAGAGGCAGACAGAGAGAGAGAGAGAGAGAGAGACAGACAGAGACAGAGAGAGACACAGAGAGAGAGAGAGAGAGAGAGAGAGAGAGGGGGGGGGGGGCAGTGAAGAAAAGTAAAAGTAATAGAGAGAAGAATAAATTATTTCTTTTTCTAAGGAGAGAGAAAATATCTTCGCTCAGTATCAAGTACCAGTAGTGGCTGCAATAGAATGGAGTGATGATTACTATGGATACAAAGGACATGAGGGTGAAGTGGCTAGTAAGTCGGAGGACGATACTATTGGAAACGAGGGAGAACATACTGACATAGATGAAGTGAATGAAGAAGAGGAAGACGACGCTGAAAGCAATAAATAATAAATAAATTGGCTGTAAATGCTACAGCCTGAGGATATGAGTACACTTGCCCTAGCCTTAGAAACCACGCCACATGCAGCTGAGGAAACTGCACTCTGTCAGATAGGGAAACTGGAATACGTCAACACTATGAAGGCAAAGACGAGACGCTGTGATACAGGGTTGCTTCAACACAAACCTGCAGACCTTGATAGAATCTGCTACTAGGCTGATGGCTAATCCAAGAACATTTCAGACAGTAAACGCCGCATACAAACTTTTCGTTACTGCCAAGACGATGGAAAGAATCGTTGTGCGCACGAACATAATAATTATTGGTAGCAATGAACCTTTTCATCCAATTTAGCAGCGGCCAAACGCTGTGACCTTGTCCGCTTCGGCCAGAGTCCTTAGCGCAGGATTTGTTTCGAGCACAATTTCTTCTTCGTCTTCCAATCGCTGCCCTTCATTTCTTTGAATTTTGAGAAGAGGTAAAAGTTGCATGGTTTAAATCTCCTGAATAGCGGAGACGTTCACTGCCATGAGTCTAGAAGATTGGTGACCTTTGAGTGAGTGAGCAGTGTGTACAGATGTGTTGTCATGATGGAAGGCAACACCTTGCTCAAGCGGATGTGGCCTCTTTTATCTGACTGCTGGTCTCAGCTTTGTTTTAAGAATTATCTTGTTTTAATACTTAGTAGTTAACGTTTTATGTTGTCCAACGGGAACCAGCCAGTTCAAAAACAGACCTTTCTGGTTGAAAAACACAACGCGCATCATGTTCAAAGCACCTTGCTTGCGCCGAGCTTCAGGGGTAGGAGGTGTGTAATCTCCCCGGTCTTGTTTATGCTTTACACCAACGACTGTACTTTTGATAACAAAAACATCAAACTAATAAAATTTGCGGATGATTCCACTCTACAAGGCCTTATAACAACAAATGAGAATGAATACAGGGACGCTGTGAATCTATTTACAAATTGGTGTGATAACCACTTCCTTATACTAAACGTAAAAAAGACAAAGGAATTAATAATAGACTTTAGAGTAAAAAAAGACCAATTGCAACCATTATTTATTAAAGATGAAGAGGTGGAGGTGGTAAACTCTTACAAGTATCTTGGTGTAAAAATCGACCACAAACTTGTCTGGCATCCTCACGCTGCTCTTGTGCATAAAAAAGTAAATCAAAGAATGTTTCTTTTGAGGAAATTAAGAAGTTTCCGTGTTGACAATAAGATTATGTCCATTTTTTACCATTCTATGATTGAAAGTGTGCTATTATTTTGTATTTGCTGTTGGGGTGGAAATTGTAAGGTGAAAGATAAAGAAAAAGTTTTACAGAACCATTAAGAAAGCCAGCAAGATCTTTGGATATGATTTTATAAGAATGGATGCAATGTATTAACACCACACGTATAAAAAAGATAAAAAGCATTATAAACCACCCATCACACCCCTTTGCCACACAAATTGTAAGATCACACAGTGGCAGATATGTACCTCCTAAAACAAAGAAAGAAAGATATAAAAGAAGTTTTTTTTAACCATCTAGCATGAGGCTTTTGTCAGAATGAGCATAAATGTGTGTTGGTCTTTAGATTATGTATCTGTATATAACTATAACTCCAGAGGTCTAGTATTTAAATTCCTGCATGTGGTTGAATGATACATTTGATGTAAATGCACATTTTGTCAGCTTTACTTCGCCTTTGATATTAAATTTTAACGAGAGTAATCTATATAATTTAATTTTTTTATGTATACCTGCATGTGTTTTTACGGTCCTGTACAGCCAAGGAAAATTTCCCTCTGAGATAATAAAGTACTATCTTATCTTATCTTCTATCTTATCTGTGATTATGGGTTTCTCCAATCTGCTGATTGTCTTTTCGGTTCTGGATCCCGCGAATACACCAATATTGTTGATTTGACAGAACAGGAAAACTTACACTTATATCTCTGGGACAGACCACATATATGTAGTATTAGATGGTTTGGAGTTATTGGCTGATGAGCGTGTGTTGTGAATGATAAAAGTAGCGGTTGATGTTTGTTGTTGATGGTGGTGTGGTCCTTTCGGTCGGCGTTCACGATGGTAGTTTTGATGTTGTAGCCCCCCATTAATGACAGTAGTTGTGACGGCTATAAGGGTGATAATGTTTTCGCCATTGACATTGAGTAAGGCAGTATCAAGCCCCTAAGGTAATTCAAAGCCAGGAAGTATATACTATATGTAGATTCGGACAACAGTAAGACGAAGAAGAAAAAAGTCGAGGGAGCAGACCAAACCAGAGATATCGAAACCATCCGAAAGATCACTGTGAGGGTGATAAATAGTATAATGTAACAAAGAATCACAGAAAAGAAGGAGCATGGAATAATTACAATGCAGAGCAAAGTAAGCAGCCTACCCAGCCCCCGTAAACAGGAAACTCTGGCCTTGGAGTGAAGGCCTATGTGCTACTTTCAAAAGTAGTGTATATTTACTACACATACAAGTTGTCCGTTTGTACGCGATTTTGTACTGCAGATCAGTTGCTTGGAGCATTTACAACAGATGTATGGTACTTCAGTTGAAGTTGAAGAGACTTTCTTGTACATGTATATGGGGCTAAGCTCTAACAAAATAAACAAACACAGGGGACAAAGCAGATAGAGGATACATGTATCATTTTCACTAAGAAGTACAATATGTTCAGCTCCTTACTTTCAGAAGGCCCCACAATATTATATGTCTGTTATTATAAGTACATGTATTCCGTTTTGTTTGTTTGTTGTTGATTTGTCAGGACGAGTGTTTGGTGGGTGCTCTCGTGTAGTCTACTCCTTCTGTTTCGTGGTTTCGGTTAGTGTCTATATTCCCATTAAAAAAACCCCCAAAACAAACAAACAATCGAGCCCCCCGGTTAGTGCCCAGGACAATGAAGAAAAATCCCAGGAAAACACAGCAGAGTCGACGGGTCCTGTAGGTTTTATGTTACTATTGGCACCTAGTATAGGCCATTACAGGGAAAACCAAGGACAGGAGAGAGTGCTAAATCTAAATCTGTATTAGTGGAAGGAGCAGAAAACGACGATAGCAAAGTCATAAAGGAGAAGAAAACATACAAAAGAACACAAGCCCCAGTCAAGAAAGTTCACAAATAACCAGGAGAGTCGAGACATATTAGGCTTCAATGATAATTAAATCTGATTAAATTAATTTTAAACGACAACAACAATAGAATCCTACCATAAGAAGATGAAACGACGTTCGAATGCTAGATGTATATTCAAATTTAGGTTTCGATTCACACACAAATGGACTTGATTACCTACCTTGAGAAAGTTCTGCACCGTCTCATTATGTCTAGGTTTAAGTTTAAGAAAGCGAATTTCTGGAACTGAGAGAGCGAGCTCATTTTGGACCCAACTTTCTGTGAAATATGAAGGCTTGAGCGACATTAGTGTTAGCCAGTTGAACCCTCGACACAAAGATATCTACAGAACTAGTTGCCGCCATCTTGGATCGTAAAGCGTTTCGATTCCAGCAGTGGGTCTTTTGTTACCTCACAGCGTACGGATCGGATTAAAGAGTAAATTTCTTCTTTGAAAAGTGGGGGCATAGAGTATCCCACGTCGTATGGATACGATAGTAAAACACGACATAGGGATAGGGTTAATCTGTGATATCAGTGCATCTACTGGTAACAATTTTTGTCGAAATTCAAGTTCTTAATGTTGAGAAAAATTAGAAAAAAGATATATAATGTCAGGACAATTAAAACAGCTTAGTTTTCTTTTTCTTTTCCTGAAAAATTTCCTTCCTGAGCTTAGAACAGTTAAAGAATTTTACGATGATCTTATGTTTTCTAACTATATTGACATGCTAGTATTCCTTTCTCCGTCCTCAAAGGAGTTAGAAAAAGCTAAATTGAAATTTTCCTTCTGCCAATGTTCCACTCCCCAAAGCCCCTAAATTCTGTTTTCTTTGACAAAAGAGAATCAGTGTGTTAAGGAAAAAAAGAGCTATACTATAAAATGAAACGAAAAATGACTTATGATAGCGAAGAACTGGCACTTTTCCAACATCCCTCCTCACACACCCCGTCCTCACAGGCACATTTTATAAATCTTTTCAAAAGTCCATAAACCCTACGAATCATCTCCCTTGCCAGTCTGTACCTGTCCAGGAATTTCAGTTTGTTGCGATGGAGCTGGGAGAACGTCCTCTTCGTCGCCTGCACTTTTGCCTTCTGCTGCTTTTTCTCAGTCTCCAGTTCCGGGATCCGGCTCTTGAGTCTGTTGATAGCTGAGTTCTCTGTGATCAGCGCCTCCTCCATGTCAGCGGCCATGTAATAGATCTGATGCTTCTTCACAGAAATGGCCACGTCTATACCGTTCTGCTTTTCTTGCATTTCTTTCACGAATTTGTCCAGCTTCTTACGAGAGCTATCAAACTCCACGTCGGCGCTGGCAATTCGATTCTTCAGACTGTTTATTGCGGCGTTCGTCTCGTCGTAGACAGCTTTGGCAGCCTCTTCCAGCTCGTCGACGTTCACTCTACGAGTCCTCACCTCTATGACAGAGTCGTAGATCTCCTTACTCAACTCGGACGGGGGGAGGTCTACATCCAGGCCGTCGTCGTCCTCGTCATCTTCGTCCATGATTAAATCGCTGTCATCATCACTGTCCTCTGAATCGTCCGAATCGTCATCCGAATCAGAGGACCCCTCAGCTTTTTCTTTCTTCTTGGATATTTTTTTCTTAAATACTCGGATAAGGTACTTCTCGAAGGATGGAGCCTTTGTCGCTATATTCAGAACTTCGTTCAGGAGAGATGCTCTTTGCTTTGTGATAGAATCCAGGTTCTTTTTTATCATATCTAGTTTTTTGTTGAGGACCTTGAGCTCTAGTAAACATTCTTTCTTCTCTTTGCTGGCCTTAAGCATACATTTCTCTATATACTTCTCCATCGCTTCGTTGTTTCGAGCAAGAATGAACTCGTTTGTTAGGAGAACCATCCGAGCGTCGGCGACTTTGAGAAGATAATCCAACTTCACTTTCTTGTGTCGCAACAGTTTCAGTTTCGCGTCGAAGGCGAACTTTTCTTTTTCTATCAGCTCAATGTAATAGTCTTGGTTGAAACGTGCAGTAGTGAGCTTGGCAGATACTATTTGCACTTCCAGAGGGGAGGGTTTACAACTTATTTTCTCCACATAGCTCCCAATGTCTCTTTCTTCTCTTGCTACTACATGTCTTGGCTCCATTTTCAAGACAGGAGTAAGGCCCACACTTGACTTCCTTCTTGTCATAGGCCTTTTCTTTTGAGGCGGAGGAACTGTTGGCTTTTTTTGAGCCGAGAGCGATGGGACCTTTTTCACTTCTGCTTCCATATCTAGAGTCTGTTTATAAGCGATGACGTCATGTTTCGTGTAACTGAATGACGTGTCTGGATCTTCTTCTGGACTGAGAGGCCTAATGTACGAAAGGCGTTTTATCTCGTCCTCAGGAAGATCTTTCTGACTTTTAAATAGAAGCTGTTTGAATTTCTCTATTTGGGCCAGATGGCAAATTTTCTGCTGCCTGAGATTTTTCATTTCATTATTGAAATCATTGTGCATGTTGAACATTGTCTCTTCTAACAAAACCAATTTTTTGCGAGCTCGGTGAGTGGTCAGCTTTTTCTCAGGAGGTACCTTATAGTCAGCTGCCGTTTTCAGTTTCATATCTCCCATGTTAAGCCTTGCATCGTTGATGGCATATTCTTCTTCTCTAAGGTCGTCGTCCGTCGGTTCAGTTTTGAGAAAGTCATTCCATTCCATCTGCCGGTGGACTTTTTTCTGTCTTCTCTCCCAGAGCCTCACCATTTTTTTGTAAACAAACTTGTCCATGCCTTTCTTTCGAACAGGACAAGGCTCCATGTCTAGATTACTGCTCCCACGAGGCGACCCTTCGTCGTCCATGACCTCTGAATCTATCGGTTTTGGAGTTCTCTGATTCAAAACTTTGTCTTTGGCATCTTCAAAAAAATCCGGAAATTCGGGAATTCGAAAAGAACTCAATTCAATGTCAGAGTTAAATGCTTTAAGCACAAACAGATTGCAGTGAACAACATCTTTGAAATGGTTTTTCAGCTTATTCAAGCTGACAGAACACTTTTCACATTCCCATGCCATGACTTTAGTAATTTCCTCCCGAGCTTCTTTAAACTCTTTTTCTTTCAGGATCTGTCCATCGTTAGTGATTGTCAATTCAACTCGTGACAAACGTACATCTTCAGGTAGCTCGTTGTTTCTTTTGACAAGTTCCCCATACCAAAGGCGCAAGCGAGCAATTTCTTCTCTTTTAGCAGCTTTGTTCTTCTTTGCCTGTGCCATTAGAGCCATTTCTTTTGCGACATTTTTCAGCGTTTCCAGGGTGAGGGCATCACGGTCTATAACATCACGAACTTCTCTATTCTGTTCTTTCACAGCAAAATCGGGAAGTTTAAATTTCTGTCTGAGCTCATCTTGGTCCTCTTTGCTTAGGAGGGAAAAAAGAAAACAGTTGCCATCTCTGCCACAAGTCACAAAAAAGGCATCGTCTTTATCTAGGGCTAGTGCCGTGACACTGCCTCTGACGCAGTCGTGGATTCCCTCTGTCCAATGAGGCCCGGGGTTTTCTAGTTCATAAGGAAAAATAAGCTGCTGCAGACGGACTCTGCCGTCTTCAAATCCCATGAACATTTGATCCCCCTCCTGAGACAACGTTATGGTCGTCACAGGGACATCATTGGACTCTATGATTGGAATTGCGAGAACTGGTTCCCCCGCTTGAGCTCCATTAGCTTCCTTCTCCTCCTTGTCCTGCAAATGAACGACATAAAGGTAACCAGTGTCATACTTGCCAAGAGATAATATCAACGTATTTTCATGAATAGGCGATTGCTGCAAAATTAAGATTGGACTTGGTTCTGGAGGAATGTACGGTCGCCATTTTTTCCTCTCCTCTGCAATGCGTTTCGTTTCAACTTCGTTTGCTTCCGCCTCCGCCAGCAAACGGAGATCCTGTTCTTCCTGTGTTTCTTCGCCATCTTCAACCTTCCTCCTGTTTTCTTCTTCGATTACTTTTTGCCTTTCTTCTTCTTCACGCTGTTCTTTCTTCAACTGTTCGTCATGCCTAAGCTTTGACTTCACGCTTTTGAAATCAAATCTTCGTAATAATTTTTCTTCAGCAAAGAAGTACGAAGTTGTATTGTCAATCTCTTCTAACTTAGGCGCAAGAACCTCTTGGATCACAGCACCCTCTAGAACCACCAAGACTTTTTTTCTTTCGTCATCAAAAGAATTTATGTTCACCCACTGGACGTCGTGAACTGGCAGATACTCTGGCATGCTGATGAATGTCATTGGCTCAAAACGCTCCCGAGCGTTGAAAAAGAAAATGGTACCGTCCACCCCTCCTGTCACCAGGAACTCTTCTCGTTTGTCCAAAGCCATGCCAGTGATATTTCGAGAATGAGGCTTTGATACAACCTCCAAATTTATTGACATCGGGAGATCAGTGTCAGAAGGTTTTCCAGAGAGAGACAATATTCTTAAAACGCCATCTGCGAAACCTGCTATTAATGTGGCGCAGCTGGAGTCAAACTCGAAAGAAGGCCATAATAGGCAGGTACCGGGAGCATTGAAAGTCCGAGACGCTACGAGTTCTTGGGTAATATAGTTGTACACTCTAATCTGTCCGTCCTCTCCCAATGTTGCCATTAGACACGTTAATGCAGAGAGTCGACAACCGACAATAGCTCCGCCATGTGCCGTCATCACCAAGCTTGGCTCTTTTGCTGTGAAAAGGAATGAAAGGTCAACTTTCCAAATGAATCCTTTTCCGTCTTGGGCAAACCAGAAGCTGTAAGGAGTCTTGTGACCGCTAGAGTCATTTTTTACAAGGTACCACAAGTCTGAGTTTTCATGTACCTGAACTTCGGCCACGACCTTCAAAGGAACTTTAAGACTTTCCTCAGTTGTGTGAATCTCAGCTGTGTCTATGGCGTCGAAGTTCCACGTCCTTACCCATCCATCCTGCCCCGTGGTCAGAAATTCTCCGTCGTTAAGAACAATCTGACGGACGATACCTAGGTGGCACGGGTAGTCAACCCTAGAACAAATTTCAGCGATTATGAGACCGTTCTCCCAGACCAGAAGATTTCCCCATTCGCTGCCGCTTACAACTTTGCCATCGGGCATCTCAACGTACCCTTCGATATCCGACAGCTCTGTCTTTCCGAAGCGACCAATATCCCCTTTCAATTTGAGACCTGTGAATGTGTGCGCCATCTTCCAGAATTTGATATGACACAGACCTGATGTTGTCAGATTTCCGGCAAGCTCCTTGGAGAACGTAACTCTGTACACGTCTTGTGCGTGGGATTTCACTCTTAGTATGGGAGTCTCCCGCAACCAGTTCCAGACGGTAATTAAATAATCTGGTTCGCCACCTTGCGAAGCCAGAAGTATCCCATCAGGGCTGAAGTTGACGGAAGCGTACACTGTTCCCGTTCCGCCTTGGAGTTTCCGGAAAAGCTGAAGCTTTGGCCAGGACCAAATGCCGATCGCTGGGGATGTTCCCTTCTCCGCGGCTGCAAATAATTTCCTGCTAGGGTGTACAGCAAGAGCCCCGAAGCTAGAGCCCCCAAGACAACGAAGATGTGTCTTTTGTTTCGTCTCGTGATTAAAGAATGTAAGGACAAATCCCGACATGAACATGAGAGTTTCTTCGTCTAAAACGTGCAAATTAGCCATGCGTTGGCAATCGTAACCGAAGGAATAAATCATGTCAAAAGGTTTGATTCGATAAAAGAATGGATCGTCAGTACATTCTTCTTTTCTTTCCTCGCTTGGCTCGTAGTGGATTTTTGGAGGTCTTTCTATGAGTTTTCTAACCAATACTGTTTTGAATTTCTTTTTGGGAGGTCCTTTAACTTCTTCATCTTCGGCTTGCTCATCCTCTGGCGCGCTCTGAACAAAGACATCATCGTGTTCATCATCTTCTTCTTCCCCTCCTTCCTCCTTCTTTTCCTCTCCCTCTTTCACTTTCTCTTCTCCGGGTTTTTCGCCCTCCTTTTCCTCCTCAATCTGTACGTCTTTCTTTTCTTTATTTTTTTCGTCTCCTTCTTCTTTCTGGGCGTCCTCTTTGTGCTCGGCCTCTTCCTTCTCCGACTTGGCTTCATCTTCCAATACTTCGACAACCTCCTCCACCCACTTGTAATCCTTTTCTGAGGGGTACACGTCGGGCTCGTCGTATTCTTCCAGCTCTGACTCCCACTCGTAGTGCACCTCTTCCTCTTTCTTTTTACTCTCATCTTCGTCTTCCTCTTCATCGTTCTCTCCATCATGAACGTCGACCACTGTCCCTGAAAAACCAAAATAAATGGAAGATTACATTCAAGGCTAAGTAGGTAGGTGCTTAAAAAGATAGACATGGATAAATAGATATACAGACAGACAGACAGATAGACAGACAGATAGATAGATAGATAGATAGATAGATAGATAGATAGATAGATAGATAGATAGA